CACTGTTGGTGGGAATGTTAACTTGTTCAACCACTCTGGAAAGCAGTATGAAGGTTTCTCAAATGACTAAACATAGAGCTTCCCTATGGCTCAGCAATTCCACTCCTGGGCATTTATCTAGTTGACTACAAAACTGGCTACCAACATGACCATGTTCATTGCAGTATTGTTTACAATAGCCAAGACATGGGATCAGCTCAGATGCTCCTCGGTAGATGAATGGATCAAGAAAATGTGGTATATATACACAATGGAATTCTACGCTTCCATCAGAAAGAATGATATTGCCCCATTCATAAGGAAATGGAAAGACTTTTTAAAAAATATATTAACTGAAGTAAGCCAGACCCAAAGAAACAGGGTGCATGATTCCTCTCATTTGTGGTAATTAGAATGTGCCTGTAAATCTACAAGTAAACACAACGGATGATAAAAGACAAAAAATTATGACAAATTAAACAGTACTCACACAGCGAGACTAAAGGAGGATATTCTTAGGAGAGCATCAAAAAGGCACCATACTTATGTGCACATGATCATATAAAATGATGATTATCAAAATGAACTCCAAGAAATGGAAAAAAAGAGGTTTTATGTTATTTTGCTTTTTCATTTTGTTTTTGTTTCTGCGTTTTTGTCACTGCTTTTTACTTCTGTATCTTTTGTCTTCTATGTAAGATTGTTTGGGGGAGGGATAGGGGGAGCACAGAAATCGAGGGAGAAAGGGTGAACAAATGCAGTTAGTGATACTCACTAGACATTATGTTGAAAATGAACTATACAACTTGTGGAGGAGGGGAGAAAGAAAGGAAAAACTGGGACAAAACAAAGGAAGAGGTGACACTGTTCAAAAAGAAATATACTCATTACCAGACTTATGCAACACTAACTCCTCTCTGTACATTACCTTTACAAAAGAAGAGTGTCCTTTCTACTTGGCCACTTTTGCCTACTTGCTCATTGCTCATCCTTCAGATTTTTATGCCAATGTTACTCCCCCACAAAGCCCTCCCTAACCTCTTCCGGTAGGCCAAACCCACTACTATAGACACAGTCAAGTAACTAGCAGTCTCTAAATAGTAGATGACATCTTAGCAATTTTATATTATTTATGAGATAATTTAATTTCTAACAGCTATGACCACTTGCCATGAACATTCATTCCATGAACACAAGCCACATTTGTTTTTGCTCAGCATTGAATTCATGCTGCCTCACACAGCTACACATGCCATAAATATATGACAAGTGCATGAATACAAATGAATGGACAGATAAATTAGTTTGTAGAGACAAGATATGAAAACAATATGCTAAACATTACCACTGACAGTGATCAATAATAAAGAGACTTGAGCATTGGCTAAGAACTTACTATGACACGGGCAGATATAAAATTATAATTTGAAATATAACCCCCAAATGCATAAGAAGCAATGTGCAGAATAAGTGATATCTGTATTATATTTGTTAGGGCTCTTCATATTCTGAGTGGCAAAAGAAAACAAATGCTGAAAAGGCTTAAGGTAAAGGAGGGAATGTAACGACTCAACTGTCTTTGAAGCCCAAAGAGGAAGAAACAGCTTTATACTGGTTTTCAACTTGGAACATTCCCTCTCAGACAACCCTTCCAGGATCTTAGCTTCATCTCTCAGTCCCATCTCTGGTAGTAGAAAATTGGCAACTCTCCTGGTTTCACTTTTCCTTGGGAGTAGTACTAAAAAAAAGAGCTCACTTTGTACTTCTTTAAACTCATAAAAGCATTAAAATTTAGTGTGAGATGTGTAGATCACACATTCTTTCCTGGAACAACCATTACAGCTAAGAGTATGTGATGCTCAAGTTGCTATTTCCTGGGTCATGAGTTCCATATTTAGAGTTGGAAATTACTACCTCAAGCATCTGGACTTGGAGGGAGAGAGAAAACACCCACTAAATAGTTGAAGCCTCTGCTGGAAAAAAAATGGAGGTTGAATACTGGTAGCAAGGCACACTACTAATACCTACCAAGAAGACAAAGTCTCCATGGCTTGGGTGGTTAGAGAAAGTTTCTAGAATTAAACTGAAACTTGAAGAGTAATGGGATTTATAGATTTAGAGTTTCATGATTACCATCCTCATTGCAATAACTGCTGTTATAACTGCAGTTATAACTATTATAATTTTTTTTATCACTATTGATGACTGACTGTGCACCAGACATGGAAGAATTTAAATTCATCATGTATTTTTCTCATTCACATGGGAAATAATTGGGATGTTTGATAAAATAATTTTAACAGTGTTGAAGAATTTGTTATCCAATGACACATAGGCACAGCCTGAGGATGACTGAAAGAAAAGAGCCTGTGTGTGTGTGTGTGTGTGTGTGTGTGTGTGTGTGGTAACGTGGTAGAAAGTTGAAATTTATACAGAAGGATTTTCTTCTTCCTTTAACAAGGATAAGTAAACTTGATTACATGTGCATGCAGAAATGAATGAAAGAAATTATGTTTTTTTTAAGAGGGAGATATTGAAGATGAAATTAAGTATTAAACTCAAGAAACTGATTAAAAAGGAAGGAGGGAGAAACACGAAAGGGATGGGTCTAAAATGGAGATGAGAATTTCTGTGTGGCCAAGTATAGAAGATAAGACACTAGAATGAAGGTAAGCCTAGAGGCTGAGGGGTACAGAGTTTCTTTAGAGTTCAACTCTGCTCAGCTCTCCACCAGGGGATGCTTTAGGGTTCAATGAGTGTTAAAATAAGATGGATTTTATTCTTGACATCTCAGGATATCAGTTCAGGATGATTAATAAAGACATGAGGTAGAAATGGACAAGCTGTGTTTGAGCCAGCTGCTTGACTCTCTGATTATTACTAGGTTCTATCAGCCCAGCTAGTCATTCAATCACAGCAGAGTCCTATCTGGTGCTGAATACCCAGGGAGAGGTCGGTTACACTGGCCAAACTGAATTTTATTAGGTGAGATCATCTGTGCTCTCTGAATTTCTGGCCCCATAATTTATCTCTATAAAATTATAAGGACGCTTGGGGTCTCAGGGATGTCAATAGTCATCTTGTCTATATTCACTCCAGGCAGAGCAAGTGGCTAATCCATGCTTGACTATATCTTTAAGTTCAAAGCTCTTCAACTCAATAGCTTCCCTTGTGAGCTGTGCTTAGGTGAGCACCCTTCTTAAAATCCCCATGGTGTTGAGTGGCCTCAACAAAACAAACACTAGGAAACAGTCTTAAAATGGGCACTCTTCCAACTAGAGGATAGGAATTCAAGAGCAGAATTAGACCCCTTTAATCCTCCCCTCCTCATATACAGATGAAGAAGCCAAGACTCTAGAGGATAAAGTGATTTAATCAAAGTTACTTAGTAAGGCATATTAAAGCAACTCTCAATTTAGAATTCTGACCACTCTCCTCCAAGCCAGGGGCTTAATTGATGACATACATTGCCACCTTCTTGGCTTTGTGCTCCCTTTGTTAATGGATTCCTTTCTCAATTCTCCAGATCTCAGCAAGTAATGAATCTTATTTCAGGGGTAAAGGGACTAGAAGAAAAAACAACAGAGGGGCTGGGAAGGTGGCTCAGTGGTAGAGCGCTTGCCTTGCATGCATGAGGCCCTGGGTTCAATTCCTCAGCACCACATAAGCAAAAAGAAAAAAAGCTGGAAGTGGCGCTATGGCTCAAATGGTAGAGTGCTACCCTTGAGCTGAAGAGCTGAGGGACAGTGCTCAGGCCCAGAGTTCAGACCCCACAACTGGACCCCCTCCAAAAAAAACCAATAGCAAGAAAGAAAAAACAACATACTCAAGGAGGAACACATGAATTGGAAAATTACGTTTATCTTATAACATCAAGAATCATTCATTCTGAATACTTGGTCTATCTATGGCTGAACTTATTGCCATCTAAGTCCTAAGTCTGGCTGGTTAGTTTAAATGTGGAAGGATTTGCCCCTCCACAATCTCTGTTCCTCTGTCTCCATCACCCATTCCCTCTTTCTCTTGCTCTCTTAAAAAACTACCCTATTTAGAGAAAATCTTATTTGGGGCCAATCTTAAACTAGCCCAATAAGAAGTGAATATTTGCAGTGACGAAGAAGTTCTCTATTTTCAAAGGACATCATCAAAAGCACTAACTTTCCTGATAGTTTATGGATCAATGACCACTTATCTATATATATAGCTTGGAAGTAAGAAGTCTAGAGACTCTAAAGCACCAGTGTTGGCCAAAAGTTAATAGTAAATAATCTTTGAGAGAAAAAGGAATTTAAACAGAAAAAAATAGGTTTTAGCTAATGAAAATGCCACTCACTGGGGATTTGGGAGCAACTCCTTGTTCAGGGATCCCTCGCTTGACCTTTGGCTCATTCCAACAGCCATACCCAGAAATATCCAGGAAGCATGATATGGAAATAAGATGGGTGGGTATGCAAAAGTTTTCTTGACACATGAATTTGACTTTTTTGTGAGTGTGTGTCAGTACTTGTAGTCAGGGCCTACACTCTCACTTGCCTCTTTTTGCTCAAGCTGGGCACTCTAGGACGTAAGCCATACCTCTACTCCCATGAAGTAGATTTTAACTGTAGTTTTCATGAAGGATTGGCTCCAGGCTCCACATTGCATGCAACAATTCTCAGATAGTCAAGTCCCTAATATAAAATGGTACAGTATTTGCATATAATCCATGAACATCCTTCTACATACTCCTGTATTTTCCTACATAAATCATCTCTAGATTACTTATATTACTGAATATCACACATATCTGTGTAACTAGCTGTTAAACCATAATGACTAGGGAATAACCAGAGCAGTTCTGCACATGATCAATAGACACTTTTGTTTGTCAAATATTTCTAGACCATGGTTAGTTGAATCTGCTGATGTGGAACTGGTGGCTATGGGAGATTTGATTGTACAGAAGGTCATACTCGTCATGACCTGAGGTTGCTCACTATAGCTCACTTGAGACATTGACACAGTGATGATCAGATACATACATTTTCTCCAGGTCCCCAAATCCTGAAAATGCTCCTTTTGGTATTACTTGAAGCTTGGTAAGGACAAACCTCCTGAAAAGAGAATGGATATAAAGCATCACACTGTATCCACTGATACATCATTATGTGCTTAATATATGATACCAGCCAACAGCTGTGTATACTAAGTGCCTGCAATAATAATAATAGTTGAAACACATTTACATTTACTTTCTCCACCCTCACATAAATGAGTATAGGCACACTGTTATCCAACTCCATTTTGCATGAAGAAATGAGTGTAAGAATACTAAAAATCATTCCCAGGGGCACACGGCTGACCCATGGCAAAGCTGGAATATGAACCACAGTACTCCATGGGGTTTCCTGTAGCCCTGGGCTGGGCCCTTCTATTTTTGTATGTCAGTCACGCTGGGCATCTTCCTTTAGTTCATGCTCAGCTTACCTCACATCTCAATTCAGAGGAAAATAGAAACTATGACTTAATGTCCTCCTATTCTTAGGTATCTCATGGCCATCAACCCACCAGCCTCCATACTTCTATGCCTGCCTTCTTCCCCCTGTTAACAAGAGTGAGCTGTCCTGGGTCCTGACCCTAAGCAGTCCTGCTGATTCATACTCCATATTTTACTCTCTCTTTGAGTCCTGTAACCATTACACAAATTTGTCTGTTTCTTTCACACATTTGTGCATCTATTTTCTCTTCTCTACAGAATTCTGTCTGTCAATATTTTTCCCATCTGAAAACGTCTTCTCTTAACCTAAGCCACTTCCAGATTTTGCTGTTTTCTTCTACTTGAAATATTTGTCCTTATCCCCACCACAACTTTGTCTTGATCCCCACCACAACATTTCTGCTAATATCTTCTTCATTCACTCATGGAAAAATTTCAAATTGCCTGCAGTGGCCTCAGTACCCCACAGGAGTTTTCTGCTCTTCATTTTCATAGGCCTTGACACCTTAGTAACGTTCTCAGATTCATCTTTTCAACATGACTATATAAGCTTCTAACAAAAAGGCTTGAAACACAATGGTAAGAAAATGGCTTTCTGAGTGGGCTGGGAAGTTGGCTCAGTGGTAGAGCGCTTGCCTTGCATGCCTGAGGCCCTGGGTTCCATTCCTCAGCACCACATAAGCAAAAAGAAAAAAAAAGCCGGAAGTGGCGCTGTGGCTCAAGTGGTAGAGTGCTAGCCTTGAGCTGAAGAGCTGAGGGACAGCTCTCAGGCCCAGAGTTCAGGCCCCACAACCGGACCCAAAAAAAAAAAAAAGAAAAAAAAAAAAAGAAAATGGCTTTTTGAGGTGCTCCTATTTGTTCAAATGCCACTTTCTCAGTGAAGATTTGTTTGACCATCCTGTTTAAAATTTTGGTTCCCTGAACGTAGCCTCTGGCCTATCTTTCTGCTTAAGTTTTTCTTCACAATACTTCTAACATATGCTTCATCTATCTATTGTCTGTCTCTCTGTGTATCTATCTATGTATCTGTGTGTCTATGTATGTATGTATGTATCTATCTATCTATCTAACTATCTAATCTATCTATCTATCACCTGTCTGCCTGTCTTATCTGTTCATCCATCTCTTCATATAACCAGAATGTAAGCCCTATCATTTGTTACTGCTGTATACAAAATGCCTAGGACTATGCTTGGAACATGACATTTACTGAATGGCTGAGTACTGGCTACATATAGCTCAGTCTTAAAAATTCTAGGCTTGGGAGTAAAAATTACAAGTGGCCTTTGGGTATCTCTTCAATGGGAACACTCCTCTTTCCTTGGCTTTCCTTCACTCTGGATTTTTCTGACTTTATAATTGATTATGGATTTGGTTTCCTTTTCTCTTAAAACCTGTTTTCCACAAGGCAGCCACTCAGCAGGGATTGTAATTAAACACCATGGGCTTGGAGAACTTAACAAATGTTCATTGCTGTGGCCTCTTACCATATCCAGGTGACAGTGAAACCTGTTTCATGTAAAGCTTCTAAGAGGCACATCGGCCTCTGCTCTCTTTTTTATGTATCTGCTCTTTGGTGAGGAATCCTGAGAGAATCCTTTTGCTCTGGAGCAAACCCAGAAAACTTGGGACTGCCAGAAACCAGTTCTGGGCCATAACCAATGTAGTAGCTAACTATAAGTGTGACTCAAGGATTAAAATGAGGAAAAACAAGTACACAGTATGTAAAAAGAAAGTTAACTTTTGACCCTGTGCCTCAAAACTATCAGGTCCTACTGAAGACATAATAAGTAAGCTAAGCTAAAAGTTGATGATTCATGCCTATAATCTTAGGTACCCAAGAGACTGAGACATGAGAATTGCAATTTGAAGCCAGGCAAGAAAAGATTCTATCTCAATCAGAAAAAAATGCCAAACTAGATGTAAGACTCAAGTGGTAGAGCACCAGCTGTGAGAAAGAAAGCTTGGCAAGTGTTTGAGGCCCCGAGTCTTTTTTTTTTTTATTGTGAGAATACCATACAGAGGAGTTACAATTACATGGGCAAGATAATGAGTACATTTCTTATCAAGCATTGTTACCTCCTTGTTGTTTCCCCTTCCCATCCCTTCCCATACTCCTCCGAGTTTAAGCCAAGGTCTTAACAAAATAAAATTAAAATAATAAAATAGTTAAAAAATTTAAAAAAAGATTTTATTTAGGATTAGGATTAGGTATGATGGATTTGGAAAACTTTCAGGAAAAATCACACAATCATCAAAAAATAATCAAGATTAGCTTACATTACACAAAATGTCCTCACTAGACCTTAGTTGACAAATGTCTGTTTCTTTTGTTAATATTTATTGCAAAATACAGAGCGATGAACACAAACAAATGAAACAACTGTAGGTCTGGATATGTAGCTCATTGGTAGAGCACCTGCCTAGCTAGAGCACCTAGCAAGGCCCTCCATTCAATCCTAGGCAATTAAAACAACAAACAAATAAAACTACTCAGTTTCAAAGTTCCAAGAGAGTCTTAAGTATTAAAATAAATTGTTAATGAGATATACAAAGAATAAGGTCTTGGAATAAGTAATTCATTTCATAACAACTCAACTAGGTAACATATCTGACTCAGCTCTAGTAGAAAGCATGTTGTCTAAAGTTTTTAGAGACCATGCTTGTATTAAGTGGTTCAAATTTACTGACACAATTGAAGTTTCAAATATTAGAAGTCTTGATTTATGTTTTCTGAAATACTATAAACTAAATAATCTGAAGATATGTCCACTAAAATCACCTAGAAGACTTGTACAACATGTAACAAATATTTTAACAGGCATAGCTGGGCTTGGGAAGAAGTGCCAGGAATTCCCAAGGGTCCAAAGAAAGCAACTGAATCTTAGCTGTTAACCTAAGCAGCAGTAAATGCAAACCAGAATGGGAACCAAAGTTTCCTGGGAGGAATTTCCAGATTTGTTGGGCAAGGAATTTGCATTTTGATGTCAAACTGGCACATAAGATGAGTCATGAAGAATGAAATGGAGTCAGGCACTGGTGGCTCATGCCTGTAATCCTAGCTATTCAGGAGGCTGAGATTTGAGGATCAAAGTTCAAAGCCAGCTGGGGTAGGAAAGGCGGTGAAACTCTGATCTCCAGTAAAACACCAGAAAACCGGAAGTGGCACTGTGACCTAAGTGGTAGAGTGCTAGCCTTGAGCTGAAAAGCTGAGGGACAGCACTCAGGCCCAGAGTTCGAGCTCCATGACAAAAAAGAAAAAAAAAATGCAAATGTCATTCTTCCCTCTTTCCTTCCTGCCCTCCCCTTTCCTCCTCCTCCTTCCTTCTGTCTTTCCTTATTTCTTCTCTCCCTCTTCACTCCTTCCCTCCTTGAATTTCTTCTTTCTAATCATGTCATAAGCATTTTAGAAAGTAATGAAGAACTGGCATTTTCAAATGAAATAACATCCAGAAATTTCCCAAAGTTAAAATGTGTAAAAGATATAAATCTTCAGACTCAGAAATCCCATGACGTCCCAAGAAAGACAACAAAATTTACACTTAATTAAAATGGTTAGAGCCATAAAACAAAATGTTTTCAATGCAAGTAGAGGGAAAACTACATTATCTTCAAAGAAACAAAAGTAGAAAATTGTGTAAAAGTATCTCCAAAATTACTGGAGAAAATATTTGCCAATTGAGAATTGTGTACCTAAAAATATCATTGAAATGCAAGGGTAAAATAAAGCTATATATTTAAGTAGCCCCTAATACAATTTTAGCAAAACAATTCCTTTAGAGGATCAAACATTTAATCTGAACCAGATGCTGGTTGTTCACCCCTATAATCCTAGCTGCTCAGAAGGTTGAGATCTGAGGATTGTGGTTCAAAGTCCATGAGATCCTTCTCTTCAATTAACCAGCAAAAGTCCTGAGTAGAACTGTGACTCAAGTGGTAGAATGCCTTGATGGGAAAAGGTAAGGGACAGTGCCCTTAAGTGTTCCAGCCCCAGTACTGATACAAAAAATTTAATATAGAAGAAATATAGACAGACATGCACACATTTACCAAACATGGAGTAAAAGTGAACAAAGAAATTAATGCCCCTTATTAAATAAGGTGGTTTTCATAATAACTGGAAAATCCATCAATAAGAAATGCTAAGTATTAACCAAGAACTGAGTCACAAAACAAATTAGGATAAAAATAATTTTCTTTCCTTAAATCACATTAAATTAAGATAACCCCTTCCTGCAACCTGTGTAGACCCATTGTGAAAATCAAAACGATACAAAATAAAATACATCCTTTTAAGTCATACATAGGCCAAGAAGAAGTGAAATTATAATTAGGAATTATTTGTATTATACTAAAATGAAAAAATATAACTGAAAATGTAGCTAAACTGCTTATTATAATCTTTTAGTTTTAATTTATTATAGCAGAAAAGGAAAGTAAAAATGTGAAATTAATGACGCAGACTTTCAACACAAGAAATTTCCTTATGTTTTTTTTCTGGCAGAAGTGAAAAAACTCAAAAGCAGTAAGATATGTTGGTAGAAATGATGGATTGTTAATAGAAATGTTTTGAGACGATAAAACATGCAGGGTAAATTACAATTTGATGTACAGTCC